GCCCGGGGTCTGACTGTTGTACAGATTATTGAGAATGAAGTAAACATGCGATGTGTTCTTTACCTTTAATTTTACCACTGAATAAAGAATCTGAACTTTATTCAATAGCTGGACCTAAGTAAGTAGCGTTTTTTCATGTGAGGAACAGTTTTGGTTTATACAAATTTTAACATCATTAATCAGTTCGATTCGTTGAGTGATTAGCAAAGACGACCGGGAAGCAAATATATTTCGGATGGTCTATTAAATATTGCAATCAACTAAATGCGCTTTATAACATGCCAATCGTTATCATTATATAAATATAATCGCGTGCAAGAACCTGCAGAACAGGCGGGTCGCTAAAAAATCGTTCCAAAATATAGATCCATAATGATATTTGTCCCTTTGATGGTTGATAAATTCGAGGACAAATAAATTACCACTGTTAGAGTGTTCAAATATGCCCTTTCGGGCAGACGGCGAGTTGAATTTCATTTTTACAATCGGTATAAAGAGGTATAATTTGCTATCAGCTTTAAAGATAAATTTATTCAATGTTATCTTTTATGAACCGTCAACAGCGGCATCTAGTTTTGTATAACCATAGTATAACCCAAATATTTAACATTTTATTTTGCAACTGCCATCTGCATATGTATAGTACAATCTTAATGTTTAGGTATTGAATAAGCACCTTAAAGAAGTATAACGCCCGTGTTAACTGATGAAATAAGAAAATCTGCCCAGGATTCTGTCGTCCCTCTGTTGTGGGGGCAAGTGAACCACAAATTTAAAGCTAGTTACCAACTTTGCAGATTTCTTTACTTCTTTAAAATTCCAACGTTGCCAAATTTTTGGCGAGTTTGAATAAACTAGATGAAAATATTGAATAAGCATTTATTCAATGCCAATAACAATATTATGTAAGGGAGGATCAATCTGAAATGTAAGATCATAAGGAACAATAAATAAAGTAAAGAATGTAGTTTAATCTAATGAGAAAACAAGAAGAACTGTTCTAAGGACCACTATCTTCACATAATAAACAATCAAACTTTACCTAGCTAGGATCTGGTAAATATGACAACACTGTTCAACTCTGATAAACAAGGAAAACAAAGGGCCCCTAAGTATAACTGGTTTCCCTGTTTAAAATAGTCATTATTTCCTGCCCGAGGCCAAATATCCTTCAATATTTGTGGTAATTAACCACTTTGCAGTGGATGCAACACACCTTACACCAATTTCAGGTTTTCCTATGTAGTTATACTTCTTTAAGGCGCCTCTGAAGTAAATTTGTTGTGCTAAACGGAGTGTGTAAAGTTGCCTAACCTCTTCAAAAGAGCATGTTACAAGTAGAAAGAGATGATTGAATTTGTCCCATTCTATTTGGTGTCTCTTTATTTATAACCTTTCAATGGATTTAATTATAAATGCAAGGAGCCTAATAACACTTGCCTAATGAGCTTTTCTATTGATATTAATAAATTCATCTTGTTTATTTATTGCATGGTATTAGTTTATGTATTTTCCTGTTTAGTGTTTATTCAAAGGATTTTGAGTTTTTCAAGTATGGATATTTTTCTCTAAAGCAATATTATTTTGCATATGGTGCACTATTATTACCGGCGATTGTAAATGAGGCCGATGGTTAGGTACCTCATATTATAAAATATATGAAAATTTGGTCGGTGTCCAATTTAGATTGAGACACCAGAAACCGAATCAATCTAGTTACGTTTGTTGATATACAGGAGGAAAGCGAAACGTTTTAGGTTTTGTGATGTTATCATATCTTGCTACCCATGCAAAATAGAAGAAAGGTAATAACTATCAGTTTTAGATATTTTTACGTAGAATCTAGTGGACTAGTAAAAAAAGTTTTGGACCACTCTGAGATTTGATCCGAAGTTGGTGTTTTTTAAACACCGTATGTTTCATAAAATCAGTTGTTTGCTTTCTTTGTCCTAATTACACTGATGTATCACCAGTTGGACTGGGTCAAGCATAGAGTGACCCAGTGACCCGGTGACCCAGTTAGTTTACTGACCCAGTGACCCGGTGACCCAGTTGACCCGGTGACCCAGCTTGACCCGGTGACCCAGGTTGACCCGGTGACCCAGCTTGACCCAGTTTGACCCGGTGACCCAGTTTGACCCGGTGACCCAGCGACCCATCTTGACCCAGCTTTACTCAGTGACCCGTCTTGACCCGGTGGCCCAGTAATTAAATTATTGTTAGGTATCATCCAAAACAATTTCAAGTAACTTTTAATTTAAAAAAAAACTTCCTCAATAATATTCGCAACAAGCACGTAGCCCAATTTCATTCAAGAGAACTAATACCTAAAAAAATCAAATGCATTTGTTTATAGTTTGTAGTCAAGTAGTCAATGAAAGTATTTAGAGAAAAGATTTATTTGGATTAAGCTAACTAGTAGAAAAAAATTAAATGTGAATGAACACCTGTAAGCAAACTGGTAAGCCCTGAAGCAAAGAAATAACATTATTCTAATACAATTCGGGACATGGAAAGTTTTTTACGGGAGTATTAAAGCAAACATCACAGAAATGGCAGTTGTCAAGCAATCGAGTATTATTTCGACAAACCAGCATTTCATTTATTTCATAATCTGTACACTTGAACCGAGGGCACTGACTTAACTGCGTTATTCGATCAACCTAGGTGACTGGGTCGAATTGGGTCCCCGGGTGAAATTGGGTCGCTGGGTCAAACTGGGTCGCTGGGTCAAACTGGGTCACTGGGTCAAGTTGGGTCACTGGGTCTAACTGAAAAGAGTATGACGTGACCCAGCGACCCAGTGACCCAGTTTAATTTAGTGACCCAGGTGACCCAGTTGACCCAGTACAACTCTGTGTATCACAACCTATATAAATTTTTCAATTTTACCCATGAAAATGAATAAAAACGTAAGTTTTTACTGTTTGAAATACAAATAGCAGATTAAATAGAGATTATGGTTTTTTTATTATATCCATGGTAACTAAGGCAAACTATTAATACCAGTCAATAATGCTGATACATAATTGTAATCAGGATAAAGAATGAAAAAAAAATTATGTTATAGATATAGGGCGTTCCATTTAAAAGATACCTATTTTGGGTCAAATCTCAGAAACGGTGGTCCAATTGATTACGCCACAGGATTCTACGCAAAAAGATCTAAAATTTATATTACATGGGTAGTAACATATGATCACGTGTCAAAAAATCAAACTTTTCGTTTCCACGCTGTATCTCAGAGATAAACGTATTTAAAAAATAGGACACAGTAAATATGGTCGATAGATAATAATTATGATTGCGTAATGGGGTATCCGTTACTATTGAATGTCGGCTGCAGGAAAGCAGAGTAAACATACTGTCCCGCATAACGTATTAGGTTTTTATTTTGCAATGTCAGAATAATAACATTCTAACTTACTATTCACATAATTTAATTGTAATATCCAAAAATGCAAAATAAAATTTAGTATAGTAATAGTATTAACTCGAGTATTAAGTAGTCCCGTGAGAATTTCGTACACTCCCGGAATTGGTAGATCCACAAAGAAGTAGAGGACAAGATCTGAGAACAATTTACATGAGTTGAGGGGGAGGTGCAACACTATGCATTAATTATTTAATAAAGTATTTTTTCTTATTTTAAATATTTGTATATTGTATATAAAAGTATAACATTTCTTTGTCTATTTTTTAAAATAATCTTTTCCTGATACTTATGAGTCCCTCCACTGTTGTTGTGAGACGTATCCCTGCATGTTTTATATTCAATAAAGATTTATCGCAATAAATTCGTTGCTGGGTATTTACTATGATCATTATTGATGCTATCCGTACGAATAGTGGACTTTGTTAGCAGATTATACTGCGTTCCATTCGGTCAAAATTACGTTTCGGTCATTTTGCCGTACATGTGCCGTGCGAACGAGGGGTCAGTAGGATTAAAAAACAGTGGAAAAAATAAAAAGTTATAGATACCCGCAATGAAAGTATAAGCCACAAGAAACTCGACAAGATGGTAAAAAGGTGTATATTTAAAGGAATTTCCCCTTTATTTGTGTCATAATGCATATTTAATCATCTAATTACCATATAATTAGCTAGGTACAAAAGCAACAGTCAATTTCGCCGGAAGGTATGAAGTGCAATCTAAGCTGCCTAACTTCGATTTAAATCACTGAAAAATTCGTGACGTCACCCAAATCTTTTTACCAATTTGGCGCTTTTCTATAAAAGATGAAAAAAATTGCTATCCGTAGGATTAAAGTGCTTTATTAGCAGATTATAAATCGCCAAAAACCATGTTCATCGCGAAAATAGAACTCCAGTTATCCTTTAAATTCGTTTTATCAACGACTCTAATTATTTCAAAAAATATGATAAATATCGAAAATAAAAATCCGTAGGATTAATGTGTACTATATTTCCTACAATATCCAACATCGACCTAATTTCCAAAGCAACTGTAAAACCGTATCCTTTATAAACTATTTTGTCCTTTTATAGGTCATTTCAGATTCAGTTCATAGGCGCCTTAAGGTGCTTATTCAATAGTTTAGGGTAATTTTCCATGCTTAGTAAGAGAACACGAAGGATTGGGGCACCATGTACACATTAATATATTTTTGCGTTGTGCACATTAGACCAGCGAACAATTTTCTAGTTTTTTTGTAGCATTACGTACTCTTATCACCAGATATTGCACTAATTAGACACCCTGTATATGATGAGTCTCCATTTAAACTTTCATGAAACTAATCTTAGATTGGTTGGTTTGAGATAAAACAAAATACAAATACTAAGACCTTGACAGACCAATTTTTGATTTTCAACCCCTCCCCTCAGTCAAACATGGTCTGGTTTGGTGTAAAATTTTGTGGTCAGTCATTGCATGCAGGACAAGTGTCGATCACAATAAATGTAATATCATTACCACCACAGCACAACTCAACACGAATCACATTGTAGATGTAAAGGCATACCACAAAACTCACCTTGTCATGTAAAGTCCAGCCAATATATTTCAGATAAGAGTCATCCAAAAAGTTAGCGTGAAATTTATGCATCCAAATTCCTATCTCGGTCATAGCAATAGCCCGTATCTCGGGCAGCGTATCTCGATAGCGATGAACGAAGACCGATTTAAACATGTACGTTAACATATTCTTAATTTCGTCCATATTTTCTTCCAACTCCTGCCGCTTACCCAACAGAGATTCTAAACGATCACTCGCACGTTTCTCCCGTGTCTTTTGCCTTTCCGCCTCGTACTGCCTCTGCGTGTTATCCAAATTTACAGACACGGTCAGTGCCACATCGACCAAGGCGGTCATTAGTTTCATGGCACCTAAAGTTGCAGTGTGCCGAAATGCACGTACCTAAAACGAGTCTACAAAACACCAGACTAAAACTAGTTTATTCTCACCTGCGAATCGGAAAGGCCAGTTAACAAAGAAATGATGTTGTCCATAAGAAACTGATCGTATATAATCGAGTACTGGCATTGTTTCACTAACGTTTGAACGAAATCGCAATAATTTTGCCTGAACTTTTTCCAACTTTGACCTGCCATGATAAGAGGATATTCGCCCGACTCTTCGTCGAATTCCTCTGTCATTTTTCTGATAATCGCCGCATGCTCCATGTTGGCCTGCATTTGTTGCGTAATTCTGCCCTTGCACCCAGATGCGTTAATAAAAAATTGCATAAGAATAATAAGGGCAGACTCTCGATTGACCTGCAAGTATGTGTAAATTTTGTTCAGTCTGATATATTACAACTTACTTTGTAGCTTTCAATCCAATCATCTACAATGTTTGTTAGTGAGGCTTTGCTGTTGCGAATTGTGTTGTATAAAACGGTGTCATCGTCACCACCACCTTCTAGATTATGGTGCTGATGATGTTGTTGCTGTTTACGGCCAGGTGGCCGTCCTCTAGGTCTCCCCCGGGCAGTGTAGGACGGTGCGGGAGGTGAATGTGCCGGTGCCGGTGCAATCACAGATTGCGTTGCCCCTACTCCTCTCGCTTTAGAGCGTGTTACTCTTCGTAGACCAGGTGTGGGGGGCGATTCAAAAACATTTTCAACAGATGAGGTTCCGACATGATCGTTATATGGTTCACCGTACATACTCATCATCTGATTATACTGGGAAGCAAAGGCTTCCGATTCAAGTGCAGGTGTCATGGGATTTTCATATTCAGGGGGCGGCTCATCCATTCGGATGCGCTTACCGCCACGACGCTGCATTTTATATTAAGTTATGCACCCGAAACTAGCCTAGTAAATCGAACAGGTAATTAGTACACTATTAACAATATTGGTATGATATAAACTTATAATCAAACTACTTTTTCTTCTCTATCATTGACATTAATTTACTATTAAGTTTAGAAGTGTTCATATACCGTTAAAACACATATTTTTATTTAAAAATCTAAACAATTCATAGGTTAAGAAAAAAGCCAAACAAACACCAATTGCCATGAGTGCCAACCAGAGACATGGAGAGAACCTTTATAAACAACGAGTTCATAAGGTGCGTTCGTTTACTCGTTTCAAGGACGGAACACACCATACGGTGGAAAAGGTCACGTGATCACTGGAGCAACTAGAGAGCCTTAGAGCAACTACAAACTTAAATATATTTAGTGACTATAATACAAACTGTACATTTGGATGTAAAATGCAAAATGATCTTTATGAAATAAATCGAATACCAAAACAGGTCTAAGCAAAAACAGTCATTCGGAGAAAACACAAACCTTTACACCTGAGACTAGATTGTATTTATTGAATGGTTTTATTGGTATTATAATTATGAACAGGAAAGATATGCATAAACTTATAACGTATCCGTTCATTTGTCCTATCGTGTAGACAAGTTGTGCACAATTTCTACATACTTGTTTCAATACATTTACATTTAGAATTTGTACAGGGTGGCCAACTAAGAATGCGAGGTACTGTATCTGGGAACCTGTCCATCGTAGAGGCTTGCGGTAAAAAAAGTTATTACTAAAGCGGCCACGAGAAAAACCTGGAAAATATTTTTGTTTCTGAAATGACCGCTAGGGGGCGTAACTGCAATCTGGAATCTAAAGTCACTAAATATAGAAAGTACCGCAATGTGACCGCAATCCATTGGGCTCATAGAGAACGCATGATTTTTGCCCAAAAATGGCGGAAGTTACCAGATTCTAGTAACTTTAATGTTAGGGATTGTTCCACCTGTTTGGAGATATCTGTATATATTTTTCATATATATAAGAGAAGATATATGATATTTTTATAAAACATGATTACATGACAGTACTATGAAGTTAGGTTATAAAAAATTACAGCTATTCAGATTTTATTTGTCAATTTTTTTTAGTTGGCAGCAAATTTGCCCAAAAATGGCGGATGATTGCGGTACTTTCTATATCTAGTGACTTTACTGGAATCTAAAAAAGTGATTTGTCTGTGAATTCCGCTATATTAACCTAACAAAAAAATGTCCGGTCTTTGAAGGCGACGATAATCTGAACCTTTTTTGTTTGGCAATTTTTCCTGTATCTCTAAAAATGAAGTGGTGGGGGTATTCAAAGGTTTCCGTAAAGAACACCCTGTATCTTCGAAACGACTCAACCGCTTTTAACAAACTCGGGTTAATTGAAAAGAGTTATTCTTCGGCTACAAATATTATAATATTTGAAGTTTTGTTAGTTTCACATATCGCCGCTTGAGGGCTTTTTTAGACATTCCGACAGAAATGGTTAATTTTCTCAAAAAAATTAAATGCATTGGTTTGATTCTTTTTCATGCAAAAGTAGCTAAAAAATGCCTAAACAAGCTCGCGAAAACCGCATCTCGATATCTTGTTCCTAACCTAAAATTCAGGCCAAAGAAAATGTTATACCCTCAAAATTTTATTTTTTTAAGCTAATTTTTCCGGACTTATTTTTATTACATAAGGAAGCTTTTAATGCCGCCGCAAATGCTCGAAATGATGGTCATCACTCATCACCATATAAAAATATATATATACAGGGTGGTGACTTGCGTAACCCATCATAGGGATTTCAATGTAAAATTCATAACATGCGATTATTGGCTCCCCAAATTATTTTAGAGCAAAAATGTATTAAGGTTTTTTGTAGGAAAAAAATTTTTACGTCAATCAACCCTATTAGTTTTCAATTTTTTGCATAATAAAGACGGAAAATTGGAAAATAAAACCCCCACTTTTTCAATAATCTGTGATGCCATGGAATTTTATAATACATGCATATAGTGGAGAACTTTTCGCCATCTTACAGTCTCTTATCTATGTAGCTAAAAGAGATAATATTATAAACTGTTTAATTGTGTGTGACTCTTTAAGTGCCTTACAATCTATTCAAAAATACGACCCCAACAATTAAATAAGCGACAAAATACTGGCTCAGTATGCACACACAGTTTCGATTAAGAAAAATGTAAGGTTTTGCTGGATTCCATCTCATGTAGGAATCAAAGGGAATGAAAAGGCAGATCGGGCAGCAATAACAGCATCCGCCTCTTCGGAAGCAGCGGAAATCAACGACACTACCCTTAGTGATTTAAAGAGCCACTACAAACAAGTCCTCCAAGCCGCTTGGCAAGAAGAATGGTCCGCAACTGCCAACAAACTAAAAGAAATTAAGCCATCAGAAGTCTCGCGGCAATCGAAGACAACCTACCTCCAAAACCGAAGAGAATCTGTAGTCCGGACCCGACTGCGAATAGGCCATACGCGATTAACTCATTTGCATCTTATCACTAAGGACGACCCTCCTTATTGCGAACGTTGTAAAAAAATTGTCACTGTCAAACATATAATATTAGAATGTACAGAATACACTAATCAAAGGAAATTGTATAGCATAAAAGATAACTTAAAGGACGCCCTTGGTGAGGGACGCTCAAATACAATGCCGCTCCTCAAAAACATATCTTTATTTGAAAAAATCTAACCGTACAAGAGCTAATGGCCTATTTTTCAGTCGAAGCTCTTTAATTATAAATTTAAAAAAAAATGATCGGATCCCTACGTTATGACAGACCGGTTGCAGCACTCGTACCCAAGCTTATTATCGGAAAGGTGGAATGCAAATACTTTGAATTTGAAAAGTTAAAGAAGGTTTATAGTAAAGTAAAATGAATCAAAAAGCCAAAAGAGTTCCTACAAATTTGGACAATCCGAGTAAGCAACACTTGAATTTGAAAAATTTAAATCTGACGATAATTTAATAACAAATTCCATAAGCTTGAAAATGGCCATCTCAAGTAGATAAAAAGTACCTCCAATCCTTTCCCATTTGTGAAGGGTATAACATTCCGAAGTCTCTTGCATAAAAGTACATTAAATAACATAGTTAATTAGCCGGACATCTTCCAGTCCAGAAGGTATCTGAAGGTCTTGAATACGGCAATCTTAGACTAATGTTGTATTTCGACATGAATGCCGCGAAGTATCTTTATCACTTCGGCATCTACCTCTGCACGGGCGAAAAGTTAATTGCACCCAAAAAAGGCAGATTCGACAACAAAGACTTATCTCTCACACGCTCGTACTCGCTGGGATTTAATTTTTTAACTTCTAAGACGTCTGCCACTATTAAGCTACACTTAATATCGTCTGCCAGGATACATTTTAAAGTAGTGACAAAAAGGGGAATTTTTTATGTATAAATTTTATACGGTCTCATGGTTTAGTTCAGAGGTGTTTTTCCCTACATTGAAGGGCATCTTTCGCTACCAACGCTGCACTTGAAATCGTCTGCCATAGCATATTTGAGAACTATGGTAAAAATGGGATTTCTTGATATAAATCTTTTCTGTGACCCTTATAGTTTAGTAATTTAGTTGATCACCTAAAGAAGTCATCTATTCAGAGCCGCCCCAAGTTAATGTTGCCACTTACGACTGGCAGACGAGTGATTTTATTATTAGGTTTCAACGTACTTTCAGCCTGTATTGTCGAATATTTTGTCCCTTATGCTTTAGTTACTATCATTGAATTTATAATAGTTATAAATTCAATGGTTACTATGTACGCTGCCTCTGGTCTATTATCTGATGTATGTGTGTTGCTTCGGATAGTTCTAAGGACTTATAGTAGTTCAAAGACAATATGACGTAGTTCTAACGTTCACTACCTTTTTCAATGAACACACAGGCATTATTTAAAAATTAATTATATGTTTTTGTAAACATATACCCATCGAGAAATATATCTAATCAGTAAGAATTATATAATGATCTGAAAGCCATTACGTTCCCCGCCAAGATACAACTCTAGATAAAAACAGAAGTGCAAAGTTCAGTAGGGGACAGGATTTGTTTTTGATTCCCCACCTGTGATTGACTCAATTAATTTATTTTTTGCTTCACGTCCGCGAATTAAAAACTTCACAAATGGACAACAAGTTGGATATAGTTGTGTTTGGTGCTACTGGTTTTACTGGTAAACACACCATTCCCTACCTACACAAACTATGCGAGGAAGATGGAAGGCAATTAAAATGGGGAATTGCGGGACGGTCTGAAGAAAAACTGAAAAAGGTGTTGGACGAATACGCCCAAAAGCTCGGTATTTAATATCGTTTCATTCAATAGGATATAATTGATTTGTAATTAAAAGGTGCGGATTCTTTGAACTCTACTCCCATCATCATTGCGGATGTTGAAGATGAGCTTTCGATACTGGAAATGGCTAAAAAAGCAAAGATGGTACTCAACTGTTGCGGGCCCTATCAACTTTATGGAGAAGTTGTGGTAAAGTGCTGTGTCATGACTGGCACACATTACGTAGATGTAACAGGGGAAACACATTTCCAAGACATTATGTTATCACGATATGGCCATACTGCGGAAGAAAGAGGCGTTTACATAGTGCACGGATGTGGAATGGACAGCATGGGTAACGAAATGCCATTGAATTTCCTAACAAAGAGTTTCCAAGGTGAAGTTGCCGTTTGAATTAGTGTTTGCTCACATATGTTTTAGGTGTTTTGAATTCTGTAGAAGTTTTTATGATGTCGAAATTTGGGAACCAAACCACAACAGGATCTGGTCTCAATTTCGGTACCTGGTCCAGCATTGTGCATTCCCTTAGTGATTTTAGGTCTGTGTGGGCTGCTAAACGGGCCATTTCTCTACCAAAAATGTCACCATCCTGTCCTTTACGGTAAAAGGTTTTTTTATTTATTTTTTGATAGACATACCTATACATGAATACAATACATAATTGGTGTGTTAATTGACACAAGGGCTCCGAGGGGTGAAATTTTCATTTCTATACCAAAACTACCTATGCACAAAATTGTACAGAATATTTTTAAAATGAAGTAGAGTGAAAATTACACAAGAGAATGTAGAACTAAAATAAAACAATTGAACCACCTTTATCCTAAAAAGTTGCGCCATCCCTGTGGAAATACGTTCTCTTTCGTGAGCCATTTTTATAACAATATTGGCAGACCCGTTTCACCTTACCTTGCACACTTTTACTCAATCAGAAACCTTCGCTGGCATATATGTCCACGTTCTGCCCAAAAGCTTTTCCGCTCTTTCTTCTATGTTTTAAGAATATGTGTAGCAAATTTGGTTCCCATCGGGTCAGCCCTTTAGCCACAAATGAGAGTTTGATACACTTGCGCATGCGCTATTCTGCCAAAAAGCTTTTTCCTTAAATGTTTAATAACCATAGTGCTTTTTGTTTTAATTTTGAACATTTTAGCAAATCGTGTTGTATTTTTCAAGAATTGTGCATTTATTTTAGGTTCCCGTTCAGCAAAAATGCAAGCATTGGTATTCCAAACAAAAGGATTCTTCCATTTCCTTCTCCAGACACAGACGTAATCAATCGCTCCCAACAATACTTTTATAAGAACGGGCAGAGACCTATCCAGGTCCGCCACTACTATCTATTAGAGTCATGGACAAGTATTCTGAAGCTACTGTTTATGGGATTGATAACGATTATTTTCAGTCAGTTTAGTTGTGGTAAAAAATTACTGCTGAAAGTATTTATTGCATTGACATAGGGACTACTACTACTAATTTGTCTATTACAGTATCCAAAGGTATTCTCAGGAGGATATGTTGATCACGAATCTCCTAGTGAAGAAATGATCGAAAACAGTACAATTGACATGTATTTTTATGGGAAAGGTTGGAGCGATAAGAAAGATATTGAATTCAATCAACGGCCCAATAAAAGTATTTTGGGCAAAATTGATATTGTTAATCCTGGCTATGGCTTTACATGCTTGGCTGTGGTACTGTCGGCAATTATCATATTAACTGAACCTTCAAAGTTGCCTAAGAAGTAGGTATATAAATCATTTGAGTGTGTGTTAATAGCTTCGATTATTAGGGGAGGTGTGTACACGCCTGCAGTTGCTTTCTTTCATACATCAATGGTGGAAGCATTACAGAAAAATGGGGTTCCATTGGAAATATTATCTGTGAATGATTTGTAATATTGTTAGTGAAGGGTATGTTTGGGTTTAATAAAAGTGTCTGTTTTTTATTTCACGTAAAATACGTAGAATTATCAGTGGCAAGAAGATCCCTATACACTTCCTGTGCAAAAATTGTTTCCAAATATCCAATAGGTACATACATAGTGACTTAAGTTTGTAGTATGTATATACATATACATTTCTAAAAATCATTATTTATGCACCAATTTCATTGGGAAAAAATTTTTTAGTATTTACATTATCATTATAATGAAACATATCAAGCGTAAGTATTCAACAATCTTGAGGGAGCGAGGGAGAGAGAGAGAGAGAACATGCACTAACGTGATGTGATAGAAGCAGACGGAAATAGTAATGACATTAATTTGTATGTAGGTATAAACTTTATTTTTCATTTGCCTATTATATGTCAATTATATCTGACATATACAGCAGTCTATTACGCCCAAGGGCATATATGAGAGGGCATTGGATTGTCATCTCATTATGCCCTCAAACGGCCTGTCAAATTGATTGATGGAGTTATATTATTATGTAATAAAAAAGATGCAACTTCATTCGTATGAAGCACATTAATGTTGGGCAAATAATAATCATGACATTTGTATATTGAAAATGCATTCTTTGGAACGATGAAAAATAAAATGTATGCACCTCAGGCATTACTCAATATTTAACCCTCGGGCAACTTACAATCCTTCGGGGCCAGAGGCCCCTCGGGCTATGTCGCCCTCGGCATAAATATTGCCTTAATGTCCTTGATGCATAAATAACTATTGTTGCCCGCGTTCGCGCTGGCAGTTCGTAGTTCACCGAAGTGTCAAAGTCAAACTGTCAAAGTTGCTTGTTTTGGTTTGGCACGTGAAGTGTATTAATATTATTCACTACTAGCATTACAACGTATAATTAGTAGGCTGGTATTCGATGCTAGATTTTATTTTTCTCTACCTCGTGGATTATTCCTCTTATAGGAGATAATGAATTTGACATTTAGGTTGGCCTATAATTAGGGGAATAAATAAATAACTATCGTATCGTTGTAGCTAACGAAGTAAACAAGGATTTTATTGAACTCAACAAACAGAACTTAAAGAACTTACTTTTGAAAATTATAATTAATCACACATTTATTGTACGCGATATTCTTCGAAATACACCAACATAACATTTTCACTAACTTGCGAAACACATTTTGTTAGCACCACTCTTTAAAATTTAAATAAATTTTATTGTAATAATGTTTTGATTTTTCAGGCAAGAGGTCGTTAGCGGCCACGCTTTTTGCTGCCTCTCGTATGTCTGGAGGAGTGCACAAAAATTCACTATCCATATTTATTTAACAGAAATTAGCGAAACACGCAAAATGCGACTTACAAATAATGCAATGTCAAAATCACAGCCTTCTTGTAAAAGTACCTACCTATTATAGGTACTTAAAATCGCCAAAATCGTGTTTTCTAATGATATTTAAATATGTGTTAAAACAGTTCATCTGCTAGTAGTGAATAAAATAACATATAAACCACGGTAGAGAAGACTTTTCATCGCCTCGCTTCTTACTTCCCTCGACGCGAAGCGTCTCGGGAAATAATACCGCTCGGCTAAGAAAATCAACTTCTCTACCTTGGTGTATAATTACTATTTTCTACTCCTATGTCGTTCTATATGAACGTTATTAATGAAACTTGTGTAACTAAAGTCACTCGGCTGCGCCTCGTGAATTTAACATTACACGCGTTTCATTATGACGTTCATAAACGAACTTGTATCATTAATAACTATTATAAGTCTTTTATATATGCTCATTCATCATAAATCTTTCACAGAAATAATTCTTGTCCCTTTCATGAACAAACTGTACTAAGTAAATCAAAAATACCTTAACCGAAATAAGCTCTGCACCGACGGACGCGAACAGCGAACGCCGACGCGAACGTAAAGTTTATATGACTTCATTATTTCTTTAGGCCACCCATTTTCAATGTGTTTGTTTACATATTAAGATAGTTAAAAAATGTATTTTAGTCGGTAAACAGATGAGCGAAGGTTGACCTTATGTGGGATCTACTACGAATATGACACGTTTTTTATCCTCAATATCACTCCAATTCCTGTATAAATTTATAAAATGATTTAAAAAATAGGTATTATTTTCAACATTTGAAAGCAACAAAAGGTATCGAAATGATTCCAAAAATACTTCATTTTGTACAGACGAAATGTGTGTCCACTAGATAAAAGTTAAAAAAAAATATATTAAGTACCTACTTTTTGAAATGAACATATGAAATCGGAAGCGCGTCTTCACTATATTTAACATAGGCGAAATTGCACTTTGTTCTGTACTTTTTCCAAAAATACTGCAAAAGATGGTATTATAAATAGGATGTGTGCATTAAAAATTAATTACATGCATATATTTGTAGACAACGCAGTAAGATTATATAATTGCATGAAGGCCACAAAGCAGGTACCTACAAGGCTACATAAAAACAGAAATGTAAGGTTCAGTGTGACGCCGTATTTGATGTTGATTCCCGACTGTGATTGACTCAATTAGTGTATTTTTTGCTTCATGTCCACGAATTGAAAGTAAGCTTCGTAAATATGGATCACAAATTGGATTTAGTTGTGTTTGGTGCTACTGGTTTTACTGGTAAACGCACCATTCCCTACCTACACAAACTATGCGAAGAAGATGGTAGGCAATTAAAATGGGGAATTGCGGGACGGTCTGAGGAAAAACTGAAGAGGGTGTTAGGCGAATACGCCCAAAAGCTCGGTATTTAAGATCGTTTCGTTGATTAGCATAATTATTTTGTAATTAAAAGGCGCGGATTCCTTGAACTCAACTCCCATCATCATTGCGGATGTTGCTGACGAGCTTTCGATACTGGCAATGGCTCAAAAAACAAAGATCGTACTTAACTGCTGCGGGCCCTACCAACTTTATGGGGAAGTTGTGGTAAAGTGCTGTGCCATGACTGGCACGCATTACGTAGATGTAACAGGGGAAACACATTTCCAAGACATTATGTTATCACGGTATGGCAATACTGCAGAAGAAAAAGGTGTTTACATAGTCCACGGGTGTGGAATGGACAGTATGGGTGTCGAAATGCCAATGAATTTTATAACAAAGAGTTTCCAAGGTGAAGTTGTCATTTGAATTAGCGTTTGCTCACTTATGCTTTAGGTGTTTTGAATTCTGTAGAAATTTTTATGCATAGACTTGAGGATCAAACCGGAACTGGATCTGCTCTCAATTTCGGTACTTGGTCCAGCATTGTGCATGCCCTTAGTGATTTGAAGTCTGTGTGGGCTTCTAAACGGGCCACTTCTCTACCAAAAATGTCACCATCTTGCTCTTTACGGTAATATGTTTTTCTCCATTTTTTGATAGATGTACATGAATGCAATAGGTACAAAATTTGTGACTTTAGTTGACAGAGGTGTTAAATTTTCATTTTTTTCCCAAAACTGTGCAATTTAAAACTGGCATTTCTTCGCAATTTACGCTGAATTGCTTCACATGTACTTATCGCAATATCGAGATCAAGCAGAGGGGAGCAAACATATATTTTTATCATTTAAAAATCATTGTAGGGGTAGCAACGTGCAATTCTGCTTGGGGGATTGACGCCAAGGGTGGTAAAAGTACATAATGTCCCCCTTCCACCCAAAATCGACCTGTTCTTGCTTTTTTTTCAAAAACTATTGCATGTTTTGTATTTATTCTGCCATCCTGCATATTATTTTTAATACAGGCCCAAGTATCGAGCACTGTGGAACACCTTGATTAATAGTTAATCACTTTGACGTACATAGATTCTCATATACTATCTCCTCCCCTTATAGTAGGTATGACTCCAGCCAGTGATAAGGCTACCCCGCTACCTCGTAATCCCCGCATGTAGCACATTTTCTTAAAGTAGAACTATGGGGTCCTACTGACCTTAGCAATCGAATGCCCTATTAAGGTCACAAAATATCCCAACAGGGCAACCTTCCACGCCAATCATACCACAACAAGTTCATAGAATGTATTGCGCTGTTTGGACATTTGGATGTTTGGAATCCATGTACCGATCCGCATCAATTAGAAATTTACAAAAGAGATACAGGATAACAGGAATTACAGTAAATAATTGATGGCTGTAGGTACACCAAAATGACTAAATTATGATCAACCCCTAAGAGGGTGCAAGATTGAACTGAAATTTCTATGTTTAGCCACAGATATTACGCATATCTATGGTTTAGCTGTACCTACCCAGTATTGGTATCATTTTACCAAAGAGTACCCATTTTACCATGATATGAAGGTACTACGTTTCAACTCACCTGCTAGCCAAAATTTTAATATCCGTCGTGCTTTTTAGTTAAATTTAAATTACAGTAAATAATTCAACGTTGTATACCACAATTACTAAATGATCCACCTCTAAGAGGGTGCAACATTGGACTAAGATATGAAATTTCTAGGTTTAGCTGTAGGTTCATTGGCATCAGTTTTACCATGTTGAACGTACAGGAGGTTTCAACTGACCTGTGTTACCTAAAATTTGGTTCCTAAGTTTAATAACTAACCGTAGTGCTTTTTGTTTTAATTTTGAAGATTTTAGCAAATCGTGTTGCATTTTTTATAAATGTGAATTTATTAAAGGTTCCCGTTCAGCAGAAATGCAAGCATTGGTATTCCAAACAAAAGGATCCTTCCATTTCCATCTCCAGACGAAGACGTAATCATCCGCTCCCAGAGCTACTTCTACGAAAATGGCGGGAAGAGACCTATCCAGGTCCGCCACTACCTTCTATTAGAGTCATGGAAAAGTATTCTGAAGCTACTGTTTATTGGATTGATAATGATTATTTTCAGTCAGTGTAGTTGTGGTAGAAAATTACTGCTGAAAGTATTTGTTGCATTGACAAATTCGTACTAATTTGTCTGTTACAGTATCCAAAAGTATTCTCTGGAGGCTATTTTGATCACGAATCTCCTAGTGAAGAAGTGATCGAAAACACAACAGTCTGCATGTATTTGTATGGGAAAGGTTGGAGCGATAAGAAAGATATCCAATTTAATCAACCGCCCAATAAAAGTATTTTAGGCAAAATTGATATTGTTAATCCAGCCTATGGCTTCACTTGTTTAGCTGTGGTACTCTCGGCAATTATCATATTAACTGAACCTTCAAAGTTGCCTAAGAAGTAGGTATATTATATTATTGAGTGTGTATTAATAGTTTCGATTATTAGGGGAGGTGTGTACACGCCTGCAGTTGCTTTCTTCCATACATCAATGGTGGAAGCATTACAGAAAAATGGGGTTCCATTGGAGATATTATCTGTGAATGATTTGTAATAGTATTCGTGTTGCATATTTGGGGGAGGGATGTAATTAAAGAGTATTTTTTATTTCACACAAAATGCGTACCATCAGTGGCAAGTGTCTTCGGTTTGAGGATAATCTAGAAATTTCAGATGACGGCTAGAATAATAGAGGTGTCTTTCCTTGGGCAGCACCATATTGTGGCGGTATCTTCCGTCGCAAAGGGTATCCTCAGAGGAAAGTACGCGAATGACACCTCTGAAGTCACCATCTGATACTTTCGAAACGACCCGTCCAGTTAGGGAACTATGATAGTGCTTCTGGAGAGAATTAGGAATATTAGGACAGTGTTTCGTCTTTATTGACGCCAGGTTATGTTTGACAGCGGTAGCAAATAGCGTTTTCGATTGGCAACACTCGTACTGCACGAGTGTTGCATGATGAATTAATCCATGTGAAAATTGCTCTCAATGGAACATAAATATTCGTAAAAATTTGTTGTCATTTGTCCATAACCTCATTTTAGATTTAGGTAATCGACAAATCTCTATTCTAAAAAATGACAAACGATTTCAGTATTATTGATGATAAACGATGAGGAATATAAATTTGAAATTCCTGTAAAGGACCAATTTTTGACGTTCAGTTTAATGAGTAAGTGCAACTTTTTGTAAAATAGAAGTTATGGCTAATTCATCATCTTCGCTATCGCTAGATGACGACAAAAAACTCTCCCAACGCAAGAAACAAATTCAAATTGTCGCACGTTTGTTTTGAAAATTTGTTAACTAGCAGCTCCACGAGCTCTCGGACCTCGTGTGTCGAAATTTGCACTGAGTGCGTAATTGTTGCATCACATTTGCCAATGGAACACAGAAAATTGCCCTAAAATTACCAATAGAACGTAAAAATTGCACTCGTTCAGCACGAGTTTTGCCAATCGAAAACGCTAAAAGAGTGGGTACTCTTTGACGGTAGTTAGAGACTTTCCCGGAGTGGCGAGAACTCGGAGTGCAAAGAAGTGGATGTTTCGTCATTTTCTCTTATCACGTCTTCGATTATGCTTGCAAAGTGTGTGAGCAGCTGTGATTCTTGCTTTAGGGATACGCTTCAAAACATGTGTAACATGGTTAGGCAACACATTATACACATAAAAGCAGGACGTACATACGTAGAAATATCGTATTTTACTGGATTAATGAGATCTTAAAAGCCGTAAACTCCATAACACACAACGTGAAAAATCGGTGGGTTTACGATGATCAGACAATTTTACCTGTGAAATAAGATCAATAAAATAAAATCAATAAAAAAAAAGGTTATATGTATGGTCCGCATTGTATAATTCGTTCGTGTCAGCTTCAACTTATTTGTTCTGTATCACGAAATGATTCCGGATTTTGGTTTTTCGAAATTTTTGTATTTCGAGATTATTATGTTTCGATACTATTGATTTTGAAATTTTGGATTCCAGATTTATGATTTGAGATTTCTCACCAAACACCATCACTAAACACGCACGACAAAGTTACGTGCAACAAAGACGCAGAGGCGGATTTACACTTTAACGGCAAAAGGGCTATGTCAGTTTTGCCGCTATGTCACGAAGCGGAGGGAGACAAAAAACCGAGATCAACATTTTTCCCGTGTATAATACATAATACATTTTTTCTGTGACGGGGAAAACGATAGGTATATTGAAGTCGTACCTATCGATTTATAGAAATTTGAAGTTTTAAACTGCAGATAGGCTCTTGTACTTCTCGCGACAATACGAACTGCGTTGCTAAGGAAACCTTTACTCAAATATCTCTCAATTCAGTTTTGTCATTTTATTTAAACATTTCGAACTTAATGATTGTTTAATAGTTGATAAAGTTAAAAATGTCTGATTCTGAATTTTCTCTGACTTCACCTGAGTTAGTAGAAGCAGTGAAAGTAGCGTCACAAAAATTGAACATCTATCTTTGCTTATGTGTATTTGCGAGTAAAAAGTAATTTCATAAAAAGTGACATTTTGTTACCTGTCAAACAGAGATAAAATGACAAACGTTTTTCCCGTCACAGAAAAAACTATACTTTTACTCTCAACCGTTCCGAAGATATAGTCAACAATTATCATTTTATTTTAACTGCTTAGTTCTAATAAGGCGGCTATAAATCAATATCTGTAGTCTCTCTAGCCAACTATAGTGAGGTTGGGGTAAGAATGGAGTTGTTTTAAATCAGTGTGACTGCATTAAAGGCTCATCAAATTCCACATTGTGCGTTAATGCACTTCACCACCCTTCTTAAATATTGTGTAATTTTAGAATTTATATTAATATTATTTATACGACAATGAACGAACGATGCACTGTTTATTTACACGTGACTCCAAGCCATGGTGTATGTATATACACCATGCTCCCAGTGCCGGATAAAGGGGAGGGCAAAAGGGGGCAAGTGCCCCGGGCGGCACTCAATAGGGGCGACAAAAGTCGGCATGGTTCGTGTAATTTTAATTTGGTGTCCGGGAAATCCCGAGAACCAAACCTGGAATAAGCTATAAAAGCTTTGTACGGGATAGGTACTCTCCAAAATTATAGACTTTGAGCGCTGTACGTAATGAAGGTAACTAACCAAATGGCAAAAAACAAAAAAGACAAGTCTGTTGCCTGTATCACTGTAGAGTGAAGGCTCAACAACGGTACCACGTTCCTGTAAAGCCGAACCGCGCCGCGTAAATATCAACCGCCCTAAAGTAAAGTCACATTTAAAATTTGTATGAAATAATAAATGAAAAATTTTTTATGTTGCCCTCATCATTTGCATGTGGTTAGCTGTTAGTTTGGGAGGAAGGGCGGCAAAATACTAAATTTGCCCCCGTGCTAAAAACTTCTAGATCCGGCACTGCATGCTCCAAGCTGACTATAGTTGACTAGAAATATAGTTTATTAGCATTTTTGTCATCAAATAATTTAATTATGTGCTAGAAGCCCAGGGTAGCGATGTAATCCCAGCAAAAACAAATAGTGAGTCAATGTCAATAATGCGCCGGTTGCCTTTACTAGCTCGGTGGTTAGCCCACCACGTTGACAACATATAACATGAGTTCGGTTTAGTAGTAACATTGTATATTTATTGCAGTAACAACTCTCTGGGAAGTAGGTATACGATGTTGGTTCAAGGGAAAAGTCAAAGCCAGGATGTACGGAGTACTAGTACCGTTCTAAACCTCTACGAATTTTGAAGAGGTCGCTCTAGCATTTGTGGCATCTTATCGATAGGTTTTTAAGAGGCTCCAGCTTCAGAATATCACCTTAATGATTTATTTATCTTTTTTGCGATTGTTCATATATGGATTATGAGTCTGTTGAACAACAATAAACATTATTATTATTATCACCGAATAATTCAACTCCATTCGACAAGTTGCCTATATGTCAGTAGCTTCCCTTTTAATATATGAGCCGCTCTGTATAATCAATGGCATTTGAAAAGTGTTGTTTTGTTATGTTGGTATTAGTAATGGTGCCGGCCACGTAAATTTAGGTTGTGTTTTGTGACGTTTATAAAATAAACGTCGAATGTTGGAAGATCAAAAATTCACGTTATTTGTATATTATTAGGAAAACTTAAGAATGGTAGGTTGCATAGGAATACGAACTTACAAATAGTCAAACGGTATCTTAAAGATCCATAAATCGGAAACACCATTCATTTAACATTCGCCTTGTTTTTCAGCCTCTTCGCCTAGATATTAAGCGTAAACTGACCGCACGGTCAGACAGAGTTAAGTGCGTTGATCTACATCCCTCAGAACCATGGATGCTGTGCTCTCTTTACAATGGGAACATTAATGTATGGAATTATGAGAATCAGCAGCTTGTTAAGACGTTCGAAGTTTGCGACCTTCCCGTACGTGCAGCAAAGTTTGTGCCACGTAAAAATTGGGTGGTCGCCGGTTCCGATGATTACCAAATACGAGTTTTTAATTACAACACCTTGGAAAGGGTGCATTCGTTCGAGGCGCATTCGGATTACTTGAGATGCGTTGTCGTTCATCCAACACAACCGTATATTTTAACTAGCAGTGGTAAGTTTGTAGTTTCTGAGATGTGCATATTTAATCACTCTCACTTCATATGATGAGTATAGGTATTGTATCTTTATATGTTAGCATTGAATAAAAACACTATAAGAAGCCTAACGCTTATGGAAGAAAGCGCGACAAATCTCACAAATCCCCTTGCACCCGCATTGGTTTGACCGCCGAACTCTCTTTGCGGTAAATAGGAGGAAAGCAAATTCTCATTCTTCTCAGTTCAAGAATCGACTCTATTGACAGTGTTCCCATTATATTCTCAGTTCAAACTCTGTCGCGCTTTATTTCCACGGGGTTAGGCTTCTTATAGTGTTTTTATTCAATGATGTTAGCAAGCACACAGCACAGTCTTAGAATATTTTATTCTCCTTAATATGATTTTAATTAAAAGTGACAACAATATTGAAGATCGCAAGTAAAAAAGTCTTTCATTGAGAGTTAAATCGACAAGAAAGAATCATAAAGTTAAAAAAAATTGAAAGAAGCTCAAGTTTTATTTAGCAAATACAGTATGTGCTCAATAATCCTGTCTTTTGCCTTTTGGAACATTTATAAGCTGCATTTTTTATAAAAATACCTAAATGGTCTGGTCAGTGAAGGTGAAATACCGCAATACAGTGAAATTTTGCCAAGCAGCATTACTGATTTGTACAGGGTGGTTCAAATTCATGACTGACCATTGGAATCTCAACAACGGTGAGAGATACAATGTAGGTTAAATAAGGGCAAAGTTGCCCCTTTCTGACCAAAAAAAACACTTGAAATTTTCGAGGAAATTTTTGAAAAATCTTTGAAAATAATTGAGATATCACCGAAAAATACTGAAAATGGGAAATTTGGTTTCTGTTAGCACCGTCTATTGGCAACTTTTTCGGAGAATGTGAATCTGTTACCAAAATTTTCATAGCACGCTAGATATAGAGGCTCCAGGCTACTACTTATTTCTTATGGGCGCCATATGGATTTTTACTCGGATGTTTACGGAATGAGATAGACACACTATATAAACTCTGCAACTGTGTATGGTAGAAAAATACTTTGGCTTCTTTTGAGCAATTCAATAATATCTCCAAAAAATTAATTTGCAAAAGCCAGATTTTTCGTATTCAAAAGTTAAACTAGTAAAAAGAGAACCAAATAATCGTCAATTAAGAGCAAGGTTTAGAGAGTTTAGAAATGCGTTACAAATGGAATTCAAAATTCATAAAAAGGAATATTATGCAAAAAAATTCAATAAATGCAAATGCGATTCTAAAAAAACGCATATATCAGCCCTTAATTTTGAACGGGCTTGAACCAGGTACTATTTATGAATACACTGTGTCCAAGAGAAGGATGTCTATCATGGGGATCTTCAAAACTGTAGAAGATGTGATGAGAGGAAAGATGTGCAATTAAAGAGTTATTATCGTGCTGTAAAGAAAACAAAAAAATTGCGATTGCTTCCAAAGATATGCCAGAAAAACCGTAATTTGCCGATGTTTTTCCGATGTTAATAAAAAAACATATTTTCATTGCCACTTTTTCAGTGTTTCGTTTTGAATATCATCAACTTTGTTTTTTTACATGGCTCGTAAAAAAAGTAAAAAGTGTACTGAGAGCATTTTTTATTACAAATACAACGATGCATGCAGTATGAGCGTATGGCTCACAAAAAAAACAGAAATTGGAAACTTGTGGTTTCAGCAGGATGGTGCACTAGCACACAATGCCCCGAATCGTGCGAGAATATCTATCGGAAAAATGTCCATTATGGCATCGTGCGCGGGTGCACCATGCTGTTGAAACCAAAAATTTCCAACTTTTGTTTTTTTTTGTGTCACATACATCATTGTATTAGTAATAAAAAATGCTACTCAATAGAGGATGTACTTTTTTACGGGCCATATACAAAAATACTATACTTATCTTTGACCCAGTGTAATGCAAACTCGAATGCAAATTTTAAACTGCCATAGCCAAGGGTTCACAATGTTTTTTTTTTAGATGTACGGAAATAACGACCTCTCCTTTGAACTCATTCTTGACACTGCATGCACAGAAAATACGAAAATTATTACACTCTAAAGAGGCCCATACTCAGACATGCAGGTGTTAAAACTTGCCTGTGCAGATCTATTCTAGCGCGTGCAAATACAAATGTCAGTGGGAAAAACAGTCGCAAAGCTGACGGCGCGTTCAGTTCACATTTAAATCGTACCTGATTATGTATTTTTGAAGTACCGTGTTTATAGAATTTGCAGTACCAAACGTTACAGTGGCTAAGTATATTTGTTCATTGTTAATTTAAACGAAGGCGGGAATTTCGGATTCGCAGGATAAATAGAACGAGTGCCGCTCATTCGCATTCAGAGAGGAACGCGTAAGTACTCAGGTCGATCTTGATGTACACTTTTATGTGGCCCCTAATTAATTAATATTGAGTAGAAAAGGTGCGAAATATCGTTCCAAAAGTGTGTTTACATACACATCAACAATAAACCTACGTTTGGAAGCAGTCATTTGCATGTACCTAAAGCTTTTGTTGTTTGCTATTAAAACGACGTATTTTATGTAGCAGTGGCATTCCAAACAATACTATTAAAAGAATGTAAGATTGGTATTTAGCAGGAAGCAGGACATTATTAAGAAAATTATTGGCGGAGTTTCTTCTTCAAAGAATTTAAGAAAGTTCCAGATTCCATAAAGTCGGAGACTGGTATTGAAAAGAGACACAAAACTCGTGGTACTGTAACATAAATGTAATCACCCGCTTTATTTATTTACAATTAATTAACAATAAATTTATAATAGTTTTGCAATAACAGTTAAAATATTATTTATCACTCATTTATATTATTTATAACACCTCGAACTGTTTATTACTGCGTTGTCGAAATTTGGAACTGACTGAAACGCAATTCGATTTGCTTTTATAGCAAACACCTCTCTTTCTCGAATGCTCCCGAATATTTAGAATGTTCTCAAACAAACGTCATATTTCCCGGAAAGATTGCGTCACATCCGCTTTCGTTCCTTATCGCCGCAGTTGTAGCGTTCGGAGTCGCACGTCCACCTCCCTCAATGTGGCTGCAAAAGTCCTATTAATTTGCCAATTTGTATGCGTCGCTCTATTATTAAACACTAAATTGTTCAAATTCCCACAAGAAAATTTTTGTGAAAATTCAAGGTAATTTTATCAACATCTCAGCAGCTGTTTTACGGAATGGCGATCTTTTTAAAATTAAAATTGTCGATATGGGTATGAAACTGACTAATATACACACATAGCATCCTTGTATCTAAGCGCATTTATAACGGCTTAAGCGAAGAGTAGGCGGGTCGATAGCTTAGTTGCAAAACCGCGATTCCCGAAATATTGAGGTCGATATCGCGGTTCGAACCCGAGCACGCGCATTTTTTTAAAACATACAACAATAACAGGGCCGGACTGGCCCAGGCCGCTAGGCCGCCCGAGCGGCCGGGGCCCCGCACTAGCGGGGGCCCTCGTGGAACCGCGAAGCGGTGACTCCGTCGCGGGGCGCCTTTAATTTAATGTTCAATACTGTTCAGCGAGTTGTTTGAAATACAATTAAAAAAACTGCAAATCCCTTGTCTTCTTTTTCGGAGGGGGGGGGTCCATGAATTTGGGGGCCTTTTAGTCATGGAGCGTCCGGGGCCCTTACCCATCCAGTCCGACCCTGAACAATAAAATAAGTCATCTTCGAAATCTGAAGACGACTTTTTGTTAAAAATTTGTAAAAACGTTAAGTTGAGGTGACGAAAATATGTGAAAACGAAGAAAATCGAACGCTCCCCCTCCCCCCGGCGGAATCCGCACTTTTGTGTTTTTCGATACAAAAAATTCATAAATCAAAAACGGTAAGAGTTACGGGCCGGCGCCTCGGCTTGGGGGGAGGAAGGAGGGGCGCGTCGAACAAGGTAAGGTAAAAATCTTTAGCCTCCCTGCGGCACACGGTACCATTTTATCATACCTACACTTGGTTTGTGGACAGTGGGGTACTTCAGCGACTGAAATGGGAATATATGGAACGAAATTTTATATTATAGTTGCGCCACTTTACTGTTCCTCTTTCAACAGTCAAGTATCTAGTAGGTATTTTGAAATTCGGGTTTAATCCTGACCCTGATGTTAAGAAACGTGCTTTGTTAATACCTTCGAAACTATCCATTATCCGTTGAGGTAGAAACGCATTCACTGTGCAGTCAAACGCCGGATTATTTGCTTTGTGCAATCCATGGGCCACATGGAAATCAAAATCGCCGACACACAAGCGCCAGTCGACAAAGAGATCGCTTGCTTGCTGGCCAAAGATAGCTGTGAAAACTGTTGCAATATTTACAATATTATACAATTATACATACATATAAAGTCACTAGCCAGAATCGTTAGGTCATTTTTAAGTTTCTATACTGAAAGGTTAGATCGAGTTTACATGCTTGTAACTTCATTTCAAACTAGACATAGGAAATCCCTATGTCTACGTATAAATGAATAGCACTGTAGAAGTACCTACACAATTCTCAACTGTTTTTTGCACTGAATTCGCGGAATTCACAGTAATCACATCAAAGATGCTTATCCTTTACCGTTTATAATGAGATTCTTAACAGTCTCTTTGAGGCATCGCATAATACAGATATGAGAAAAGATTATTGCAGGTTTGACTTTTAATAAGCTAGAAAGAAACTCCAAAAGCATGATATGAGTGCAAGAGAGACAAAACTTTACCAATGTTGACATTGACGGTAGTAATTACATGGGTCATTGATAGTTGATACTGACCTACTCAAAAGACGCACGAATGGCATCAGCGCTTTTAGTTTGTTAGTATTCTATCTCACTTCACACTCATATAATGGTTATTTAGTTTCTTTCTGGCTTATTAAAAGTCCAATGTGTAATAATCTTTTTCCATACCTCTATGTAGTACGGGAATGTCTGGAGCAATCATTTAGTTTTTATTTTCTGTGGTCCAATCAATATTTCTACACCATGACTTTGTTCCGTACTGTAACATGTATCTAATAAAAAATGTATTCAATAGATGACATGCTGATAAAACTTTGGAATTGGGAGAAGTCATGGGCGTGCCAGCAGGTGTTCGAAGGTCACTGTCACTACGTCATGCAAATAGCAATAAATCCGAAAGATAATAACACATTTGCCAGCGCATCCTTGGATCGAACGCTAAAAGTATGGCAGTTGGGGGCCGCTACGGCAAACTTCACACTGGAGGGGCATGAAAAGGGCGTAAATTGCGTAGACTATTATCACGGCGGTGACAAGCCCTACATCATTTCTGGAGCCGACGATCGGCTCGTCAAGATTTGGGATTACCAAAACAAGACCTGCGTCCAAACTTTGGAAGGTCACGCTCAAAATATTAGCGCCGTCAGTTTTCACCCCGAATTGCCGGTTGTACTCACCGGTAGCGAGGACGGTACTGTACGCATCTGGCACGCGAACACGCACCGTCTTGAAAGCAGTCTTAATTACGGCTTCGAGAGGGTTTGGACCATCTGCTGTCTGAGAGGTTCGAACAATGTGTCGATCGGTTACGATGAGGGTAGCATCTTGGTCAAGGTCGGACGCGAGGAGCCGGCCGTCAGCATGGACTCAAGCGGTGGGAAGATAATTTGGGCGCGTCACTCGGAGTTGCAGCAAGCCAACCTGAAGGCGTTGAATGAGGGAGTCGAAATACGGGATGGGGAGCGTTTACCAGTTGCAGTCAAAGACATGGGTGCTTGCGAAATTTACCCGCAAACGATTCAGCACAATCCCAATGGCCGATTTGTTGTGGTGTGTGGCGATGGTAAGTTTTCGGCGGTTAAGTTGTAGATCCATTTTGCGACCCCGTCCATTATGGTTTGAGACTATTTTCTGTTGTTAGTGTGTTAGATTTTCTTTAACACATTATTTTTCAAACAATAAGAAAAAAAAACGTGGGAAAAAATGCGTACATTTTGTCCTACTCATTCTGTTTTGTAATGATACTTTTAGGGGAATAGAGTAAGAGTAAGATATAGCATAGAGCTGGGTACTGCTCGTGCTCGCGAGCGTTTCGCTAGAAAAAGCGCTCCAAGCGGAAAAAGCACTTTTCGGAGCGGCCGCCTGGTACTCGATACGCGAGCGTTTACTTAAAGTGCTCGGCGCTCGACCTCTTTTTTCTACCTGCGAGCGGTTTTTCCGCTCATGAGCGTTTTTTTTCGCTCCTGAGCTTTTAACTGCCCTCAAGCGCTTAATGAATAAGCGCCGACCGCGAGTGGTTTTTCCGCTCCCAAGCGCCTTTCTGCTCGTGAGCGTTTTTTCTGCTCACGAGGACTTTTCCCTAGCGCTCGCGATAAGCCACTCCAGCACTTTTAGGAGTGCTCGGAACTCGCAAGCGGTTTCTCTTTGCAAATCAGCTCGATGCTCGCGAGCATTTTTGAGACAATTAGAGCGACACTCGAGCGGTTTTTTAGAACGCTTAGCTTATTTGTCGAATAGGTTCGACGTAAATTCAAAAAAACTAAAATTGGTATCATCGAAAGTGTAAGAGATATAAAAAAAGTTTTATATAAAAGTTACTGTCTTTGACACGCCTAATTTAGAATTGATGTCAAAAAAAATTCAAGATGGCTACCTGGGGAACATTTACCAACTTCCTAAAGTCTTTGAATATAAAATTAGGAAGAAGTCTAGCCTAATGGGAACTTGTGGATCCGTGACAATCGCAGGAGAGGTAAGGTGTACCTCTCCCACTTTTATAATAATATAATCGGTTTAGAGCGAATATTATGCTCCGAATTGCGTTTGCACTGAAGATTTCAATACTGTAATCTTTTGTTGGTACGTATACTAGTCGCGCGCACTTTAAATGAAAACGCTGCCGATACCAATTGGGATACAAAAAATTTCATAGAACAAAAATTGTAGACAATTAAATTTACTATAAAAAAGTCCGCGACGGCATATATCTATCTTTAATCGTTTAGCCATATCAACCATTTAAAGTTGCACATCTTGATTGCGTTGGCATTCATAGTATCTTTGATTGCTTATCATATATTAAGGGTTGAAGATACATATATGCCATCGCGGACTTTTTTGTAGGAAATTAAATTCTCTACAATTTATCTTTTATAACTTTTTTTTGTATCTCTTTTTGTTTTCTCAGCGTTTGTAAAAAAATGTACGCACATCTTAATTTTGAACTTTTAATAAACTTTTTAGTTAAAAAAGAATCTGGCGTAGGTACGACTACGACTCGAACCCTTGACCTACATGTTGTTATAATTTCAGGTGCTTTTGGGGGTTCCGGTTGGGATGATCGAAGCGTTGTAAAAATTGAAACTGTCGTTCTTTTTTGCCATTCTGCTCAAAGCGCAAGGGAAATATGCGAAAATGGGAAATGAAAAAAACGATGTTCTTATTTTTATTTTTATTATTAGTGCAATTCACATATTATCGAGCTCCTTGCGAGTATAATAAGGAAGGCCCTTTTGACATCTACGTGAGTTATGAAGTGAATTGCATCAAATTCAATATGGGCATAGCTTTAGCAATATAATACGCAATGGCAAAAGGTGAGCCTAATCGATTCAAAATGCATAGTGCTCTTTTGGTATCTCGGCCATATATGAACCGAATTGCAAACTTTTTTAAATTTAGAAATGTATTTAAATTACATTTGATACCTACGTATGCACTTGGAATAAAAGCAAATGTAACGCCATTTTCAAAATTTGGTTTTGCGCATGCGCAGTGCCAACTTATTTATTTATGAACATAACAGGTTACCCCAATAACAATGTTCATGTATTGTTAATAAAAAAACTATTCGAAAACATAAAGAATATAAAGAATATATGTTAAGTTGGTAAAAAAAACAAAAGAAAAAAAAAGAAAAAATGCTGTGAAAAATTTTTTCCAGTCCTTGGATATTGTCACACGATCTTTCAAACTGTCTTAGGGCAAATCTAACACCAGGTTCAATTTGGTTTTGCACATACTATAGCCATACCCAAGAGCTCGTTTGCTATATTTTTTACACAGATATTTTTACCCATACTAATAATACGCTATCAGAAGGGCGTGAAGCAAAGCCCTGTAATTCATCAAAAGTACGGTTTGGGCTGGATGTCATTTCACTCAACAAAACCAAATGTACTCTATGTAAAAAAATCCGCTGAATCTGAAAATCATAATCCCCTGGCCGGAAACTCCCGAAATATATTGTTATACAGAAAAAATGAAGAAAAAAAATGGGAAAATGTTTTTTTTCGCATTTGACTGACGTTAACTATCGCCCCGAGTGAAAAAATGAAGAGAAGTGATATTTTTTATGAACTTTTCCATTTTTTTTTCCGGTGAGGTATTCAAGTAAATTTGTTTAGAATCGAATTGTCTATGGAGACCATACATTTAGTGTGGAACGTTCATTCTTAATTGTTATTGTTTTTATGGAGAAATATAAAAAAAACGCATTTCCGAAAATTAACAATCTGTTATCACTGAGTAAAATTCATCATTCATATTTGGTCCCTTCTTTTGATAACAAAACAATACGACAAACCCGATCACCGTAGGTAGGTATTATAGTCATTGATTAAATAAACAAACAAATTGGATAAGTCTCATAACGTTCTAAATTTTTGTACAGATGGTGGAACCCCAAAGCAACCTTTTCCTAATGTTGTCTCGATGATTTCTGCAAATTGACGGACGGATTTCGACGTATTTTTTTTTAATATTAGGTACATTTTCCGAGAGGTTTCTGTTCGCCTATTATGGAGATTTCTTGTTATATTTCGGAAATTATTCCATTTGTTAACTAGCAAGTCTTCGGATTTTCCAAAAAAAAATTTGACAGTCCGTCGATTTGCAAGAATCATCGGGACAATTGTTGGAAACGGTTTGCTTAGGGTTCCACTAGCGGAAATAATTGGGGGAGAATCTGGGAGTCACCCACCTTGAAAGACAAAGCATGGATTTTTTTAATTTGTATTTTTAATTAATCAATGACTATGATATCTACGGTGATCGGGTGATCGGTTGCCGTATTGTTCCGTTATCAAGCTACGGATAATATAAAAGATAGGATGAATTTTGATTAGTAACAGATTGTTAATTTTCGGGATTACTTTTTTTATATCTTTCCATAAAAAAGCAATAACTTTTGAAAATGAATGTTCCATACCAACTGTATCTTATAGAAAATTCGATTCTAATCAAATTTATTTCTCTTCATTTTCTCTCAGAGCAATAGATAACGAGATAATTGAAGTCAAATGCAAAAAAGACGAAATTTTCCCATTCTTTCTTTCTTTTTTTACGTTTTATAACAATTATACAGGGTCCTATAACACTGCGTCGGTCTTTTCTAGTTCATACCTGGTAAAAAATAGCAAAAAATCTTTTGTGCAAATGTCAACTATAGAATGTTATGCATATACAGAAATTATTTTTGAATGTACAGAGTGTCTCATGTTTACGGTGTCAATACACAGCTGATTTTTTTAAATGGAACAGTATGTTTATTTTTAGCTAATTCGATGTCATTTTTTAACCTCTGCAGGCCAAATTATTAATTTTTTTTCGAATAATTCTCTATAAACCAACCCCACTTTGATAAATCGTAGCGACCTTGATTTTAAAGTTAAGAAATAGAAATCAATAATTTTAATTCGAATAAAAGGCAACACAAAAAAATTGTAAAATTTCTAGATTTCAAAGTGCTATAACTATTTTTATTCAAATGGAACTACCACTATTTTGTTTCTCTATTCGATGGTCTGTTGTGCGCTCTTCAATTCTTAGAAGGGATATCCTGTGCCTGAACCCCGTAGTTTTTAAGTTATTCAATATTTTTCACTACGCAGTTGCACATTAATAAATTACATGTTTATAAACAGGAGTAAACCGTGATAATAAAAAAACCAAAGAATGCCAAATAGTAAACAAGTGCCATAAATTAATTGTTTGCTGCAAGTGTACTCATTATTTCCTAGTAAAATAAGATTTTTTAAAAAGACTAGCTCGAAATTCGCCTTTTTAATTAATCTTATTTTACTACGAAATAGGGAGCACATTAATTGGAGCAGATAATTTACTTGTGACACTTGCTTACTGGAATTCTATTGGCTTCTATTTCTATTATCACGGCTTACTCGATCCTGTTTATAAACATTAAACATGTAATTCATTATTGTTTTGTGAAAAATATTGAATAACCTAAAAATTAGGGGGTTTAGGCACAGGAGACTCCTTATAAAACTTAAATAGCACACAAAACCCTATCGAATAGAGAAATAAAATAGTGGTAAGAAAACATTGAATCGTACCATAAAATTTCTCACAACCTTTGAATTTAAGATTCAGTCACAAAACGAAAGGTACCCACATTTACTTTCAAACGCCGTGAAAACGAAACTTCGTACAGAAAAACTCATAAAACATAAATTGTAGAGAATTTAATTTCCTACAAAAAAGTCCGCGACAGCATATATGTATCTTTAACCATTAATATATGATAAGCGTTCAAAGATATTATTGAAACCAACGAGGACACTAGGTACAACTTTAAATGGTTGGTAAGGCTAAACGATTAAAGATAGATATATACCGTCACGGACTTTTTTATAGTAAATTTAATTGTCTACAATTTTTGTTCTATGAAATTTTCTGTGTCTAAATTGGTATTTGCAGCGTTTTCAATTATGTACGCGCGCCTACTATCAACATAAGAGTACGGTAACAAATCAATGAGTGAAAGTGGGAGACTTCAGGCTATCTTTGTCCTACATATAAAACGCGCTGTAAGAAGGAAGAGCAGTGACTGCGTTCGGATTTTCGGAAAGCGCGTATATAAATCC